GCGTGTTTTTGTAAAGTTTTTCTTGGTTTTGCTCTTGAATTTTCCTCTGTAAAGCAAAGCTATAAACTTTTTTTTTTTATCCTTATGAACCTCTTTCAGATTTGCAGCTTTTTCAGGTTTGTGTTTTATTTTTTTCCAAGAAAATATGGTCACTTCAACTTTGTGCACCTAAGCATGTTGCATTGTTTCGTATGCCCTCTGCTGCTATTAAAAAGGACAAGATACTTTTTAGCAGAGGTCAGCTCAGCTCCTGGCTTGTAGTTTTTTTGGGCCCAGTACTGTAAAGAAGTGCTTGCCATTGTCTTTTGGAATATTTTTTGAAATGCTCAGTCTAAGCAAAGCCTTGGGTTCCCTAGAAATCTCCCATCCAAATAGTACCCAGGTCTGATCCTACTAAATTTCTTTGAAATCAGCCAAATTCAGCTAAATGTTGCCACTTAAGCTGTCTTCTACAGAGAACTATCTAAATAAAAATGTGGCCAAAAACCTTTTTAAAAATGTTGTTTCCTAGGAGACATTTCTTGGAATTTTCTTACTCTGATTTTAATGTGAAAAGCAGTTACGGAACACCAGTTTTTACCTCACTATCATTCATCCTATAAAGTATACAATTTCTGAGGACTGTTGAGTTGTCCGTCCGTACTTAGTGAAACAAATTAATATTTTAATTAGTTGAAACTCCAGGTTTGCACATTACTTACCAAAGCTTCAAGCTGGCCTAAAACAGATGCTGCATTAATATAAAGGTTTTCCTTCATGATCAACACATCTTTTGTTTTTTCCTTTGAAACACTTTCCTAAATATTCTATGCAGTTCTCAAAAACTATTGGTCCAACATCCAATGATCCATTTACATAAAAATGTGGATTTCATCTTCTCAATTCTTGACATTCCAAAACACTTTTTTCAGGCCTTTTATGAAGCTGGAAGAACCATTCTTTCTGGTTGGAGGACCTGATATCAGTTTAAATTATAGTAGTACTGGGGTTAATTAAAGTTTGTAAAATTGATTGTTTACTGTGTTGTGGTTTCTGTTGTTGTCTGCTTCTACTGCACTTATGTAATCACATACCAAATAAAAATACAACTATTACTTTTGCGTGTATATGTGCCTTCAAATCAGTCTTAACTCCTGGTGACTACATGGACGAGGCTGTGCAGTTTTCATGGCAACATTTTTTGGAAGTAGTTTGCCATTGCTTTCTTTCTAGAGCTGAGTGAGAATGACTGGCCCAAAGTCCCCCAGCTGTATTTGTGCCTAAGGAAAGACTAGAACTAACAGTCTCCTGATTTCTAGGCAAATGCCTTTAACCACTATACATCACTGGCTCTTGTATGTTTAGTAATACATGTTCCTTTTCTACAGAGCATGATTAAAGTTAGGATCCTTCTACTCAGAAGTGCTCAGATTCAACATTACCCATTCACCCATTCAAGACACTCATAATCACATCTCTGTTGGAAAACAGGTTTTCTTTAACCTTTCTCTTTTGCTTTACCTCACAGATGAATCCTACAATAAGCCAAGAGTCGCCATCAGCTATTTCGTCTGGGCAATTTTTGCATTGCTCCATCTTGTCAAGGAATATGGGCTGTAGCCAAAGCATAATCCCAAGTTGGAAACACAATGTGGCATGCACAATTCCACGGATCAAGCCCAGACACAGATTGGTGAACTTCAGTGGTATACAAGGGTCTCGGTAATCATGTGCTGTGAGGCTCTCGGATAAAGATGATTCTGTTTATATCTAGATTTGGGATGGAGGAGAACTCATCCATCTGGCATTTATTCACAACATGGCCATGTGACCAGTGTTGAAGCATCTGAAATGATGTCAAGAGAGCAAAGCTGGAGTCACCTTTGTTGCATTCCAGATTTGCAGCTCAACTAGCCTTCCTTCAAAGGGGAAATGATGGAGGAAGCTGAGACAGAGAGGGCAACAGGAGGCTACCTATCAGCAGATTTATTTGGGGTATTTTATAGTATTTTTGAATAACCCCCTAATATGCTTTACTCCTGAAGAAAATCTGTTTGGCCACTAAGAGTCGACACCAGCCTAATGGGATATAATCAGTCTTTACAAAAACATTTAAAAAGCATCACTTAAACTGTAAAATTATTTACTGAAACTGAGCAGCACCCAGCAATTAAACCATAAAAGATTAAAAAGCTTGGGCAAGAGTTTTGTCTGCTGCTGAAATAACAAAGTGTGACAATAAGCAGATTGGCAAATATTTCAAAGATTCTGTACCTAAGCTGTGAGGGGCTTGGGAGTGAACACCTTGAGGTTGGACATGTGAAAGCACTATAGAAGTGATACCAAAGGAAGCTTTTGTGAACCTATAGCTTTGGGTTTTCAAGGGCATAAGGATCTGTTAGAATTTTTATTTTAAAGATATGTCAATGACACAAAAATAACTAAGGATGACGTTTAACTCCTTAATACAAGTCTCCCTTCTTTTTTAAGGTGCCGGTCAGTATCTCTTGCTTTCAAGCGACATCTGGAAAGCCAAGATCAGTAAGTGTGGAGGAAAATGAAAGCTATGGCTAAGGAGGCATTGACTAAAAAATGCTCCAATTCATTTTTGTATTCCATACTGTTGGGTTTACAAGATGGCTTGGTCTGGCAAAATTCAGATTTTTGTTCAGATGTAGATGTTATAGTTTTCCCAAGGTGCTGTATGTTTACAATGCGATCCAAGTGGTGGCCCAACAACCAAGCTCTCAACTAATAATTTGTAATTAAGCCTGCCCCTTCACATTGCTTCCTTTCACACTAGAACCTTCTTGTGCCGTCATGATGCAGACATTCATATTGAACGTTCCCCTGACAACATAACTGATGGCAAATGCTGTATAAAGGACCACCCTACCTTTTGGATGCCCTCGTTTGCAGCATTCCAAAGTGTTTCTAATAAAGTGCCACCTTCCATAAAGGGCTTGTTAATTTGACCATGGGGAGCTCAGCACTACTCAGTTCTAAGTAGGATTGGTTGTATTGGATAGGGTGTGAATTGTCCCTGCTTTCTGCACCTCACAGGGAACCCAGTTCCAAATATTTTCTGTCAGAGGAGAAGATGGCTGCCCGTTTTAACTCCCTTAGCCTGGACAACGACCACATCTACAGTTCTAATGGCTTCCCTGTTCACAGTGAAAACCCCAGGTGGCAGCAGGCGTATACACAGTTGAAAGAGCTACAGCAGAGGTACCAGAAACCGTGGCAGCTTTGTGCTTTTAAAAAAAGTGGGTTCAGGGAAGCAGAATATCATGACTTCAACACATAAAGGCATTCTCTGTCTCAGGCTGTCTCAAGATGGAGCAAGTGAAGAAACCAACTCTACCGAAGAAGACGAGCTGACCACTGTCATAGTAGATGGTGAATTTATGATGGGAGATTGCCCCATGCTGGCACCATCTTCCTTCACATTAGAAGGACTTGAAGGAAGCAGCATTGCCCCTGAAGAAATGTTTCTTTCTCTGTGAGTATTAACGAAGTAGGAAGGAAGGAAGGCATAACAAGGAAAGCAGATCAGTTGAACAATTAATCAGCTTCCTCCCTCATTTTCACAGGAATCCTTGTACAGAAGTTGTCCTGTGGAGCCCTCACGGTAACTCATTCTTGCATACCATCAGGACACTGATAGCTGCCCCATCTTCCCCATCTGTCCAGCCCCATCTAGAAGTGGTGGCAAGACAAGAGGAAATGGAAATATGAGTCATCCCCCATTCTACTTCCCTTTGAAGTCAAATTCAGTTCTTAGTCTGGCTGTCTTTCAACAAAAAGGACCTTTATCCAGCCAATGTAAACATTTTACTACAAATATTTTACACTACCATGGGGGCATTCATCGTTTTCAACCAGCTGCAATAATCTGATCCTGTCTCCTTCATCCACGTAATGTACATCTGCAACTACGTATGTCCAATATATATCTATTACTGTATTTTCTCTTTCAATAAGCAATCAGTGAATACTTCCTAGGACATTGTAATATACTTTTAAATAAGAGTTAAAATGGGCATTCTAACCACTTCTTTTATACTTTATTAGCCCAGAAGTCAGATTTTTAATATCCATCAAAGTTGTTTTTTTTTTGACATTTTGCTTCAGATAAAAAGACTCAATGCTTTTATACTGCCAAATACTGAGAGGAGCTGGCATTATGATTAACTCCTCCTATTGGCACCAAAGGAGTGGGTGTAACAGACAAATAAAAGCAGCAGAAGTGTTTTTATATCTAAATTTCTTTATTGAATAGTGGTGTATCCTTAACAAGTTTGATGCCATTAGCAGTGGGTTAAAACAAAATGTTTTAATTATCTACAGAGTTGGGTGTATATAAAATAATTAATGAAGCAAATATATTGCACAGAGGGTCCCAATGCTGAAAGGGAACAGAGTATCAGTCTGCAATACCCAAAGGTTGGGAATCCTAGGATGGCAACTATCAGCTGAATCCAGACATAATTTCATATTCCTATATTAAAGTTTATGCCTCCATTTCTTATTGTGTTCCTCAGTTTCTGGAGGTAGACTGGGCTGACTGAATTGTACCCCGATCATAGTTGCAAATACAAGGTGAGAAGGTTACAAAGTCCTTTTTCAAACCCAGCCCTACATTTGGGGCTATTTTCTCCAACATCTGGGTTGAAGGACAGGGCTAATGTAAAAGAGATGGAAAACTCTCCAATCCTAATAGGGGAGCAACATAGCTTGGTCCTAAACCATTCCTAAATAAAGTATTCAGAGCAAGCCTAGAGAGAGATGAGAAGGAAAACTCCCAGTACTATTAGCTGGGAAATTCTGACATGTTTTGCTGGATTTCTTCCACTTCTGCTTATTATTATGTAAACTGAGGCATAGCCACAGAGCCTGGAGGAACTTGCCTCCAAAACAATCATAATGCCCACCTTCTCCTTCACTCTGCATTGTTCTTCACATGACTTAAAACTGAATATTGGTTGTATTATGCAATAACAGCACCCAGCCATAATACCACAAGTGGAGAAATAAAATACAATGAGTGGGCAACATTGCAGAAAAGGGCTTTTTTCAGTTGTGGGGAGAAGGACAATATCCTTGAGCTCAGCTATGCCCCACATCCTCTTTCTTTATTCATCTTAATAATTTGTTTCAGTAGTCTTTTTTTTTTTTTTTTAATGCTGCTCGGTACTTCCCACCCACCCCCTTTCTGTAAGCACAATCTACCTCCCCAACCTACCATCAAGGGGGGACTATAGTGCTTCAACTGGTTTCTCTATCCCCACAACTCAACTTCCGGGGGGGGGGGGAACAGAAGAGTGTAACTCCAGTGCTGTGAGGATTCATACAGGTTCTCCTGCCCCTCCAACCAACATCCAGAAGCCCCCTCCCCAACACCACATGAGCATGATTTTTACCCACCCAACTCCCCACAGTTCATTCCTCCTCCAAAAGGAAAGGGCATATACGAGGACTGGCCCTTCAGCAGCATTTCTTGACGGAAGGCTTCTTTTTGGGCTTGTTGATTTTGACAACCTCATTCTGCTGTTGCCGCCGTGCCAGGTTTTCCTGTTTTGTTCGGAGCACCATGGTCGTAATGGCATTGAACATCTACGCATGGAATATACAAGGGGAAAGGAACTGAACAAACCTCTCGTGGCCAGATTCCTTCAGCCCGAAGCCCCAACCATCCCCTCTTGAAGCACTGAAGGCTTCTGTGTCACTTCCCACCTCTGCCCTCATAACCACCTCTGCCGAATACCTCTTCAACGTTGAGGTTCTCCTTAGCACTGGTCTCAAAAAGCCGCACTCCCATCTGATCACTGAACCGCCGGGCGTCAAGGGTCTCTACTTGCTTCCGTGACAGGTCCTCACATTTGTTACCCACTGGTGGTTTGAGGGGATAGGGGAGGAGAATTAGAGCAATGAAAGCAATCCATATCCCTCAATATTATGGGATAAATTCTGCATGAATAGCAGATATTCAGGCACGCTGTATCTTCATTCTGAACCTATCACATCTTATGTCCAGTTAGACTGTCTGGGGACCACAGCCCTGTCTCTAATCTTGACCAGTTCAACCTGGTTCCTTTTAATGACTGCAGTGATTTTTTTTTTTTTTTGGTGAAAAGATTTAGGCTCGAAGACATTATAGTTCAGTGGCACAGCATATGTTGCCCAAGTAAATGCCCCAATTTTGATGTCTCTTGTTTTAAAAGGAACAGGTAGCAGATAATATCAAATTGCACATTCTCTGTCTTACACTGTGGAGAAAAGACTCTGAAGAGGATAATTCTATGAATTAATCACATATGACATAAGAATGACTCATTAGGAAATGTGCCTTCTCACTCAGAGTGGATGTGGTAACAAGCCATTAATAGTTTGGTTAAATTATTTTGGTTTTGTTCACCAGAGAACAAAGCAGTAAACAAAGCAAGATTTAACCCCAGCTCAGTTCTCTCATTTCTTGCAGGAGACAAAGCCAAAGTTCCATATTTACTTGGCCTACTGATCAACAACAGATGACCAATTAATTCTTCATCTCATGGGTGAAGCAAGTTGCTCACTGAAAACTAGCTTTAACTTTGTTTAGGTCAATTTTCTATGAGCAGTATGTTCATCTTCATTATGTTGAGTTTTTAGGGAAACGGTGAGATAAAAATGTAATAAATCCATATCATTTTTCTTTTCCAGGAATCCAAAATATTGTGTTTATTTCTATGCCAATGTCTCTACTGAATTTTGATTCCCCCCCCCCCATAAACTGCTGAGAGATTTTAGTAGTTGGCAGTGTATCAAGTTAGATAAAGAAGGAATTGTCCTGCAATCAATCAGCCACAATGCTTTTTTGTCATACGCTATCCCTCATCTCAAAGTGAAGGGCACATGACAAATGTTCTCTTGGTTAGCTTTGGCCAAGCCTCATTATCTAGTAGATCTCTATATCCAGCAGATATTTTCCATCCTCAAAGACCCACCATCAACCTGCAAAGTATCTTAGGTATTCTTCCTATTTCTACAAATGATAGGAGGGCCCTACAGCAGCTCTTCTAACCAACATGGTTGGTGGTTGAGAACTACGGGAGTTGTAGTTCCAACATATCTGGAACATTCCACACTGAGGAAGAAAGTACCATGGCATGCTAGAATACTTTCCCCCAACCAAAGGCTTGTTCAAGTGGCCAAAATCAGCACTTAGTAATCTGAAGCGCATGGAAGATGGAACCATGATATGACCTGTTCTGCAACCATAGCAACTCTGAAATAATTTCCTCAAATGCAGCGCTACTATTGCAATAAATAAATAAAGACTCTATCAGGTTTCTGTAGCCAACCTTCAATAAGATAGCTCTGGAGTTATGTTTGTCCCTAGAGCAACCAAGAAGAATTAAGCGACTGTAAACATGCAAACAGACATGTGAACAGGCTGAAACCTCATTGCATCTGACGATCCTTTTCTAGGTTGGATATTGCTGAGACAGCAACAACACCTCACCCACATGAGAAACAAGCAGGACACACAAAGCATACACAACTGTACTTCCTCCTTTTCTGGTATGAATGAAAACTACTGATAAAATCTTTTGCATTTCTATTCGTACGATCAGGTTCCAATGTAACGTGACAGAATCATGAAGACTCACAGCTTTGGCCACTGAACTGAAAGACGAGAGGAAGACAGGTTTGTAACAAAGTCACTCACCCAAAATCTTGCATACATTGTCACAGTTTTGCCCAATCTCATGCAGCCAACGTTTGACATTAACAAAGGACTCCGCGTTCGTCACATCGTAAACAATGATGACACCATGAGTATTGCGATAATACCTGCACCCAAAGAAAATGAAACAACTACTTGCTTTGAACTGAGAAAATCCGATAATTCCATATCTTTCTCTTCCCTTCAGTGACAGGGTTCTGAAGTACCTCTGTAGCCCCCTCAAAGTTATATTTTAGTTTAGTGATCAGCACTGACGTGTCCATGAAACCCCAAGAGGGAGGGCTCCAATGCTCGATAAAAATCAAATAAAAAAATCAAAATGGCTAGAATCCCACAAGATTGTCAAAGTATTTTATGTATGTATGTTTTTTTTTCTCATTCTGGGTCTGAAACCTTGTGACTTTTTAGGGAAGGGCATTCACACAAGTTTTCGAACTTTTATTTATTTTGGTGTCTGCACCATCCTGCAAAATTGTAAATGGTGACTATAATGTCAAAAGGCTGCTAACTGCTATTCTAGCTGATTAATACCTAGGCTCTCTCCCTGGCCATTTCACAGGACTCTCATCAATTTAACCCCATTCTTCATTCTACAGTATTCAGGCACCGCCACTCCCGCCAGCTCCTGTCCTAGGCTTACGTGGAGGTAATAGTCCTGAACCGTTCCTGTCCAGCTGTATCCCAGATCTGCAGCTTCACTCTTTCTCCATTTATCACTAATGTCCGGATTTTGAAATCTACCCCAATTGTTGTGATATAGCTACCTGGAGAGACACAGGGAAGAGAGAGGAAAGAATTAGAACAAATAAATCAGAAAACAGTAAAAATGCCTTTTACTGAGCAAACTCAGAAAAGTTAAACCTAAGTTTTAGGATGCATTATTGCAAAGCAGTAATGAGATCAAATATTGGTATTGTTAAGAAAAAAAATAGGTAGTCAAGATTGTTAATGGTCAAAAGTTACATTGTGACACTTGAAAGACTACATTCCACTGATTAACTGAATGGGGGAAAAAATGAGATGTAATACTATTAGAATCTGAAGGACTTTGGGTCCAACTTCAGCTACGGATGCAACCTCATTTGTAACAAGGAAAACTGCAGCAATTTTGCTCAGAATGGATGCTATGAGAATCAGTGCAGCCTGTAGCTTTGGCAGATTTTGCACGGCCATTTAATCAACGGTTTGGCTAACCGGCAAATTACGATCTCACTTTGCACACAGAAAGCAAGCCAGATAAAATGGAGAGAAATAACTCAACCGAGGGAGGAGGGAGGGGCAAAAGAGAAGGAATTCGTTCTGAAAAGAATTCATGTTGCAACACTTTGAAAAGACATACAATCTTAAACCATCAAGGATTCAATTACAGCATTGCCAGCAGGGCAAACGCAATCAGGATATCTACACATTTAATTAGAGCAGATAGGGCAATTTGCTTCTTTGATAGCAAAACTGAATAAAGGAACATTGGGTAAATTAAACCCCAAATCCACAATTGGGCAATATCATTATTACAACCAATTAAAATGCCACAAAGGAGGTATGAGCTTCCACATTCTTCTGAATTAACCTCAGGAAAATCTCTGGAAAACTCACAAGCTCATTTGTGGAATTTCTGTTACTCCTAATTGCCCAATTGGGGACTGTGATTTTTGCATCTCGTGGACCAATGCAGCCATCCTGTTTTTTGGCATCTGGGCATTAAGGTATTCTTCTCTAGTGGGCCCATGACAATTTTGCAACTGCTTTTAAAAATGAGATGTTAAAGTCAAGAATCCACATTATCCAAAGATGCTTGGCCTGAACTGCACTGGAATCAAGTTGCAGCATTTTTGGTGCATGGCAGGAGTCAGGGCTCCCAACCAATCCAATGACCATCAATACAGGAGGGCAGTTCCTTACCTGAGAAGGTATTATCTGCAAAGCGGAGCAGAAGGCTACTTTTGCCAACCCCTGGACAGGAAACAAAAGGGAACAATCACACAAACTCAAAATAAAGGTTTAGTCCTTCCCATCATTTCTTAACTACTTCTGATGCAACAGAGGTTCCTCAGCAAAGCTTACAAGCTTCCCACCCAAAGCAAACAACCTCGGAGTATTGACTCAAAAAGGGCCACTCCTGTCCAAATCTATTGTGTCCTACTGCAAGGAGGAGGAGGGGGGGGGGAAACCACAGACTGGAAGAGAAGCTGGCACAGCGTTACAGGGAAACATCGGAGATTGTGGATTATCTCCCACACCGTTGATGTAAACTGAGGGCAGTGGTGAGAACACAGGATATATAGAATTAAACTGGAGCAGCGTTGTGCTGAACAGTCAAGAAATTTTGCTTCTAAATAGGAAGTTGAAAGGTTATGAGCAGGAAGGAGAACGAAGGCACACCTCGATACCCTGGCTTAAAGCAATCAAGACACCTAAAAGGGTGGGACCACAGATGTCACAGGACAGAAATCCTCTCTGGCAACTCCTGTTGACATAACCCTGGAAACCAGGTTCTCTTATCCAGTCTCTTCTCCCTTCCTTCCCCATGGCTTCTTGAACAGACCCCTTCCTGTGAAGGTTGTGAGTACTGTCGACAACTCCATCTCCATTCTCTACAGCTGCAGTGGGAGATAAGCCAAGACTGAGTTTCCGCAGCAGCTAGACCAAGCTTTATTGGCTGAATGCTAGGCAGTCTCTCTCTTTCTCTCCCACACATGTATACACACTGACGGAAATCTGTTTTTCTTCCCAGATTTCACAAATCAGCTAGGCCCCATCATGTGCCAGTTGATTTCCTTCAGTTCCTGCAGGAGCCTCTTGGCTTTCCACGTCATTGCAACATGATGTTCAACTGAACTGCCATTTTAGCACACTCCTACTATATATATTATCCTAAGCTATGGTTTGTTGGCTAACTAGAATTGGCTGACCGCACACCACACATGAAGGCAAAAATCAGCTTGCAGACCACAACAGTTGAGTTCTTAAAGCATGCTAAACCAAACCAAACTCAACATATTATAGCTTAGGCACTGTGTGAATCACATATTCACTGAGCTATGTAGGACCTGGCTACTTATTACACAGAATTCCATTCAGGGAATGTACATCCTTTTTCATTAAAAAACAAAACACCAACTTTTGAGGACTCTCTCCACATCTGAGTGTGCCAGCTCTTTAATTATTCTGTCTTAAGATGGTTTGGGCTTTTTACACAATGCAGTTAACGTGCAATCCATTTTATGAAGTAACTCAAGATGCAGATAAGTTCCTACAAGTACAGGTTCTAAACTTCAGCACCGAAAATGGCAACAGATGGAGGGGAGAACACTGGAAGAGAATATGTCTAGAACACTTTGAGCTATTCAAACCGATGAAGACTGTGTGCGAAATCTAATCTTCCTCCTAACACCGAATTTAGCATGAGTGCCAGTAGGACTGTAGCCAAAATATTGCCACTGAGCCACAAGGAGGAAATAACAAGCAGACTCAAGGGAAACCAAATGTTTGTAGAAGAACAAACTTTTAGGAGAAGAAAGGAGGTGAAGGAGCAACACCCCCCTCCCAAATGGCCTAATGAAGACAGAGTAAGCTGAAAGGCCATGGAATGTAAAGAATTTGCTAGAGGGATATGGAAAACAAGAGGAGAAAGAAGGCAAGGAATGGAGTCTCCAGAACAAGGGCAAGGCTGCCTGGTTGGAAAGTTGACTAAAAGGTCCACGCTGCAACACTGGGAATGGTTTACTTTCAGAAGGACTCTCCAGATAAAATGAGAGGGGATCAGAGCAGCTGTTCTCTATCTACCCCCATCTCTGTTATCTCCTTTACATGCTAATTTTTCTAGAGATTTGGTGGAGGAAAAGCTGGGAAACAATAAATAGAGGAAAACAACTTGCAGCTGTATGACCCTCTTCTAGCCCTCTCTGCTCCTCTCCAAGGGAGCCTTCAGAAGAATCATTAACGCATAACAGGAAAGGAATCTATGGAGTTCATACGCCACAATGTGAGTTAGCTGCATGCACATACGTGCAGCTTCTCTCTTTGCATGAGTACATAACATAACCAGATGCAGAAAAGCTTCATGGAGTGCTTAAAACTAAGATTCTGGTTAAACACACCCAAGGAAACCAGGATTTATAAAAAACAAGCCTTCATTTCAACTAGCTTAGAAGGTCTTAGTTTGTTTGAGCACTCTTAGCCACAAAGCTGTGTTAAGGTGGTGTACCAAACTCTCCCTTTAGGCCTCATCTATTAGGACATCGTATCTACTAGAAAGAAAAAAAATGGAAGTAAATGGGCCATCTAGATTTGCATGGTTTATTACACCTAGGATTCCTGGCTTCTTATGCATGAATGCAATCACTGGATTGCTTCTCATATAACATATAGCCTTGCCTCACCAGAGATGAAAGGAGATATCCTAAGAGAGTTTTCCCCAATGAGGGTGCCCTCCAGATGCTTGGATTTCAACTCCTAGATCAATGTTTCTCAGTCTCAGCCACTGTAAGATGTGTGGACTTCAACTTCCAGAATTCCCCAGCCAGCAATGTCCTAGCTTCTCAGCAATGGTGTTGTTCATTGGTGGATTCTGGGAGATGGTCCATTCATGTGGAGTAAGACCAGGTTGAAAAGTCTGTCCTAAGTGGCTGGCCACCATAATGGAGGAAGATACCAGTTAAAAAGATTTCTACAAGTATCTTTCCCCCATGGGGGATAAAAATGTTTCTTAAAATTTAGTGGTCACAGACAATTCTGAGCCAGAGAATTTAGTGAGTATTCTTTTCCTGCACAGTCTAGATCACTGATGCGTGGGACCTCTGGTCCTCAACACTGTCATTTCATGGGCACTTCCAAGGCTTATCAGTTACTTGTCTCTCTTCTGCCTGGCCAAAGCAGATCTTCTGTGGCTTATTTTCACTAAGGTTTTGGGGAATCCTTAGTGGGTACAAGAGAGCTAGAGGTCCCAACCATGTCAATGCCAGAGTGGACTTTTTCATATCCTTTTTTCTGAGTCTGTTTTAATTTGAATTCCAAAGGGGGAGGGGGGAGTCACCATTCCCTATCCCAGCAATCACATGAGCTGGGCAGTCAGTAATACTGGAATCATACACTCATACAGTTGGAAAGTATTAAGCCCTCTCCTCCAAAGGGGAATTCACATTAAAGCAATCCAAACAGACTGCTCTCCAGTCTTTCATCCAAAGATAGGAACCTCAGCCCTCCCTTGATAATTGGTTCCACTGTCAAAAACCTCTGCCACCACTAGGAAATTCTTCCTAACATAGAACAGTCCCACCTTCTTAGCGGTGCTCTCACATTGCCACTCGTTCTTCTGTTCTTGGGGCTCACGGGAGTCATCTCCCTTAATTTATCTTTGAGCTTTTCTACCCCGAGCTTCCTGATTGCCCCTTTCTGTAACTGCTCTAGTTTCTCCGAATCTTTCTTAAAATGTGGGGCTCAGAATGGAACATAATACTCAAGGTGATGTCTGATCAGTGCAGAATACAAGGGAGCGAATACTTCCCATGATCTGGGGGCGATGCTTCTATTGATGCAGCCTATAACTGCATTTGCTTTTCTTCTTTTTTTCTTTTTTTTTTGCAGCCCTATCTCTCTGCTGACTCATACACAGTTTGCAATCAAGAACTGTTTCAAAATCTCTTCCACAAATACTTTTATCAATCCGGTATCTCCCATCCTATAACTGTGCATTTGATTTCGGTTTCCTAAGTTAAGAATTTTGCATTTGTCACTACTAGATGGTTTCCAGCTGATCTACTTATCAAGGTATTTTGAATGCTATGATTGTTTTCCAGACTATTAGCTGTCCTCCTCCTATTTTTCATCTGCAGATTTGACAAGCATTTCTTCTACCTCTTCACCCAAATAATTAATCAAAGCTGGACGCAGATGAAACCCAGGATCAAGCCTTGCTGGCATCCCATTCCTGACTTCACTCTAGTTTTAACAAGCAATCTTGGAGTTGTTTTCAAGCAAGCTGTAGATCCACCTAAGAGAGATCCCTTCCAGCCCATATTTATAGTTCTGTTAAAATATTTGCCCTCTTTCGGATTGTCTAAAGGGCCTTCGCATGCAACAGACCAATTTTCCACACTGATTAGTACAATGGCATCATTATGCAAACAATGTAAATGGATGCAAATGACCCAATTTGCATTCTTTCCATAATGATATGATTATGTGAATTGCCACATGAATAGCAGACCCTCTTCATCCGCCAATAAATACATTTTAATAAGGTTTTACTGTTTCTGCCCCCAAATACTTCTTAGTCCACAAGTTAGTCCCTCTGATCTATCCTAACTTTGACTGTCCCTTTCATACTAAGGACCATGAGAACACGTGACAGGCACTTAAATCCTAAAATCCTCTATAAATCAGACAAGCCTTGGAGCAACCTGATCCAAAGAGATCCCAGGACACTCTACCAAACATTCTGGGATCCTCCATTACTAAGGTGTGATTGCCAGCTATCAACAGCCTTTTGCACCAACTTTTTACCTTGCCATTCTTACAATCTATCCATCAATCATTTCATCAACTTCTCTCTCTTCTGCAAGCAGCATCTACTTCAAACTGATGGGATCTTCATTTGCATTTCTACTGTATCATGAGTCAATTTCTTCAGCTTGTTCTTGCTATAAAACAGTAGTACATTTATTTTGGACTGTAAGAAAACACTGGAAGGATGAGTTAATGCTGTTGAACTACTGAGATTCCAGGTTTCAGATACAGTATATATTCTCACAGATATATATATCAGAGATACACCAGCCAGGGGAATTCTGGGAGTTGGAAGTCCACACAGCTTAAAGTTGCCAAGGTTGTGAAACATTGATATAGAGCATTCCCCCAGTCTACTGTGGAAATTATCCAGTCAAATAATGAAGCTGAGATTAGATTGGCAGGACTTGTTCTTGACATGCCGTACTGACATCTAGTAAACCCTGTAATACCAATAAAAGTGAATATGTGTAGCTCAGGGTTGAACTGTGGAGTCCTTGGGGTTCTCTGAGCTTGGTTGTTTTCTTGTAAACGTTTCGTTACCATTCTAGCACTGAAGATGTTACCTAGCCAGGTAACAAAAAGTTTGCAAGAAAACAACCAAGGAGAACCCCAAGGACTCCACAAGCCCTGTAATGTCTCCTCCAGAATACAGTACTGTATATCCAAGAGCTAATGCTAAAAAGACTGGCCTAGATTAGCCCAATTTCTCCTATTCTATCCTTTTGAAAATAAAATTTGTTCTGGTCCCTGCAGATTGCAGCCATTCACACATCATGTAAAGGCAACTGTTTGCTTTATCATGGTTTATTAAATAAACCACAATTGGCTGGGTTCCCACATCATACTATGCCATATACCAAGGCTTACAAGGCAAACTGACTGGGTTCATACAACATGCTACCCTAAACCCAGATTTGCAAGTGATCTGGGGAACTAAATTATGGCTTTTCTTTATCTTCATGGAGCAAGTAATTACCCAGTTGGAGCAAACACTGGTTCTTGGATACCGAAACATGCATGAATACACACCAAGTACTGCTTCTACCAGTTCTACTCTGATCCATTTCAAAATCAGCTTTATCAAGAGCAGAAAGCAAATCGAGAAAGCCATAAAGACTTTCAAAGGTCCTAAAGTGAGAAGATAAGCAACATGAGTTGCAAAGGGCCCGAAGAGAAAGTGAAGAGCTGAACTCATCATCACTCTGGGCTTTCTGACAAAGAGAGAAGCAAGACCATGGGGAGGTTGCACCACTCCTTTTTCAAGAAGAATACAATGACAAACGGAAGAGCAGCCCAGTCCTGCCATAGGATTAGACTGCTGCACGAAGAAACGTTCAGTTTGGAACAGCCCAGTGACTATTCAGAAGAAAGGTCTCCTCCATCCTCATAAGAGTACCAGAAATGGAAGATCAACCCAGCCTCAACTGGATAAGTCTGCTCCAACCAGTCTCCCCTTCCACTTCTTGGCCTTGCAGTGTGTCCACTGGAAGATACAGCCCCCACCTCATCCTCATTCCTTCACAAGCAGTTATGTGACTGCAGGGGTTTGTGGCAGACAACATGTGGTGCCTACAAAGAGCAATACCATCTATATGAATCATTCATCCTAAACTGCAGAATTCTACATTCATGTTAACATCTCAGATTTCACAGCAGGTGCACCACCCAGATCCCCAGCTCTCTCTGCTGGCAGCCACATCTTCAGCAGGAAGCCAAGCTTTTATGCTATGGCTCAAAATGCAGCTTGGAAGATGAAAGATGGGACTTTACCACTGAAGGGGTTCAATGGAATGGTTTTGCACAAGGATACCCAATCTGGTGCTTTCCAGATGTTTTGGATCATAAATCCATCACTGGATTTGGCCAAGATGGCTGAGGTTGGTGAGGGACAAAGTCTAAGATTTCTGGAAGGCACCAGGTTACCTGCCTGATTTGCAACGTTCTTAAAGAACTGAAAGGTCTATGTAAAGAAAATAACAGTGCAGTCCTGTACATGATTAAAGATTCATCTCTTCGAGCAAGTTCATTTAAGAGCTACAGGACTACAGCATGATGTGAAACATATAGCCAATGAGAAAGTGCTGCTTTAAATCAGGTGGAAATTTAAGAGTCCATCTTGTTTAATCTTAATTTTCCACCCCACTTCTCCACTATATTTTTATTTTGCTATTATTTTTTTAATGTATTGCAATGTTATTGTTAAATGTTAATAATGCATCAATAGCTTTTATTTTTATGTTTGTATTCTGCTTTGAGATAACTAGCCAGGAAATGACATAGAAATATATTAAATAAATGCATGAAGCATTATTATAAACATTTTGAGGAATCAAAATCAGCCATCATCAGTTCCAGATGTGCTGGAACTACAACTCCCAGAATTCAAAGCCTATGAATACAACTCCCAGAATTCATGGCTATGTGGTCCCAGCATGCCTGGAGGTCATCCATTTGGAGAAGGTAGCTCAACAATCCTCAGACAATAAAATAAGGGAACTTACCAAGATTGCTCCCCCATCTCTAAAACTAAATGAGAATATTCCAGGGTTGAAAAAACTAGATCCCAAAGGATGCTGGGAATTCTACAAATTTAACACAATTGAGACCTGCAGAAAACCACTGATGTGAGGTGTCACTGAAACAAAATTCAGTTGTTAATAAATTGAGTGGAGCTTTCTGTACGTCAGTGTGGTCTACAGAGAATTAGAGAGTTCCTGAAAAGTAGTGAGGACAAGAAGAGGGGCAGAACTAAAGAGAAAAGATAAGGGGGCTGTTGGTCCAATGACTTCCTTCCAGAGTTGTGGAGCTTTATTTTGCCCAGGAGTATTTGCAAGAATGAAGGTGAGGCAGAGAGGTGGAGAAGTACAAAAGAATGAGAATAAGGGATAGGTAAAAATGGGGGGAGGAATGTGTTCAACCCATCCCAAGTGCTCACAATGAACTGGAAGAAGGGGACGTATGATTGACATAAAAGACTAGGGGAGGAGAAAAATTGGAAGGAACCAGGATAAGCGTTCAAAATGAGGATGGCAAATGAGTAACAGACGCATGTGGCATGAAAAGTGAGTGGGAAGATCTGAAAATATCCAAAAAAAAAGACAGCAAAATGGTTGAAATCATTGGGGGGGGGGGGGGGACCAGCAATAAAGAAGAACATATAAGACTGAAGATGGGGTGAGGATGACAAACAAACGTTCTTACCCGAATCTCCGATGATAAGCAATTTAAACAAGTGGTCATAATCCTTGGCAGCCATTCACGTGCTGGGGCAGCTCCCGTCACTGCAGTGTCTATCACTTTGTTCCTCTCCGGAGGGATTTTCCTCGACTCCCACACTATCCAGTGGGAAATCTGTTTGGCCTCACAGCCCCATCGCGGCTCGCTGAGACCGAAGGGCCTCCAAAGACTGCCAGCAATTTCCAAGGACAGGAACTGAATCAATCCGGGAGGATTCACCGTCTTTCCCTCCAAAGAGTTCTCATAAGGAACATGGAAATGTTTGTGCCTTGCGCTCAGCCTCAACGGGGAAGATGCCAAACTTTTTCTTCCAAACTTTTTCCTTCCTTAGAGTCAAATGACAGAGGAACACAGCCCAGTCTGTGTGTCCAAAAGGAGTTTCTTCTTCTGCCAAGGAACCGTAGGATGTGTGTTGGTTGTTCTGGAGCTATGTCCTCCAGTCCCAGAATCACGGTTTAGTAGGATCTTGGCTTCACTTGTAATGGGAAGGGAAGCAGACAGAAATGGTAAAATGTTTCTGAGCAAAAGCGGGGATTTCTCCCAAATTCAGACCTGGGTTACCAAAAAGTGGTACAGTGTAGAAAATATTGTGGAGCGTAACAGAACAAAAAGAAAAGGGAGGGAAGGGGAGAAACGTGTTTTCTTCTTCTTCTTCTTCTTCTTCTTCTTCTTCTTCTTCTTCTTCTTCTTCTTCTTCTTCTTCTTCAGTCTTTTAATTCCAGCATTCGAAACAGAGCAAGATTCAACTCCCTTAAACAAGGGAGTCTGACTGTTTAAAAAAAAAAAAGGAAAGCAGTACAAAAAGTGTCGCTTTTTTTTTTTTTTAAGTGTATCCACAAGAGAAGGAAAAAAAGGGAGGGAGGCAAGAATTTAGGACTCCATTCCAAAAGTCGGCCTGGCTCCAAAAATAAATGTACAGTATCAAAAGGAGCGTAACATCAGAGAAGAACACTTGCCATACTGAAGTAGATTATCGGATCGGCTTAAAAAGAGAAACAGGAAAAAAGGGAAAGAAAAAACAGCCGGGGTTGGAGGGAAGGAGGTGAGGGAGTTCCCTCGAGGGTTTGTTTGGCCAAGAGGAAGGATCGCAAAGTTGCCCTAAGTGCCCGGCCGTCTCTCTCCTTCCAAGAAACGAGGCCAAGGGAGGAAGGCGAAAGGGAGGAGGGCGGAAAGACACAGCCGGCTGCGGGAATCAATGAAGGAGAAAAGGAGAGCGGGGCGGGAGGCGGCCTGCAGGAGGCATCGCGACGGGAACGGCGGAGCGCAACGCCGAATCAGCTGCCAGCCTAGGCGGGTCTCCCGCGGGGCTGCCTTCCGTCCTCGCTCCCCGCCGGACGCGGGTCTGGGATCAGATGACCGGCAGAGCTGCGCAGCCCGCGGCTTCCTGCCTCTCCCTCC